GTGTGAAACAACAAATTGCGCAATTTGCCCTTACGGCAGGGACGGTGATTGCATGAGTTCAGGTACGATATAGCTGATCTCTTGTAACAATTGCGGAGATGAATATATTGGCGAAACGGGCAGACCTTTGTGTATCCCTATAAAAGAACACCTAGATGGCAAACGAAAACTAAGACGAAGCACCCCACTAGGCACGCATAGGATACAAAAGCATAGCGGAGACGATTTTGAAGTAAAAGTCAATATCCTTGCACAGGAGTCCAAAACACCAGCGCGAAAACTCCTAGAGGCCTTTTCGATCAGTGCCCAAAACCCTACAATGAATAGCAGGGATGAATGCCCGGAGGTCATACGCGACCTGGTCCCGTACGTTCGCATCGATTTTTGATGTGGGATGGTGCAGTCGTCAACCACATGCGACTATAATCAGCTGTTCTAAACTTCCTCATTGGAAGTCACGAAAAAGCGGTGGGTTTTTTCGAGAAGTTGTTGATCATGTAATCACCAAAGAGTCTTTCGTCTTTGTGTAAGTGTTATTGAAGCGTTTGGCCTAGTAGATTGTATATCAGTATACCCTTCCAGGCTCTGAAGAAGGCGATACTGCCGAAACGTCAGCCACTATTGTATTGTATTGTGTTTTTTATGGAAGTGAAAAATGACAAAAATGCGACCCTCGGAATTAAAAAAGCCAAAAGTTCACTTTAGTAGAATAACTGCATGTTATTGGCGCATATCAGTAGATTCTAACGGTTTCCATTTCAACTGAAAATGTTCACTACGAGAAGAGACAAGTGGGTTATGAGTTCGTAACGGTTATTATTTTCCAAAGTAGAAATCACGAGGTGCGTGTGGCACAGTGGTCGGAGGCGCCCTGCAAAACAGACGTGGAAATAGATCGCCGCGCTCATACCCACCAAGCCTTCCATCTCTCCAGGATCGGTAAATTAGTACCAGACTTGTCTAGGAGGATAGCAGCACTGACTGTATAGATCGGAAAGCCACCACGAGTTATTTTAAAGTCCAGATATTCATTCGATCACCTCCAACGATGTTTAATACAGTGGAATGTGGCGCATTCCTCAGACGTTGATCAACGCCAGGAGGTTTACCCTTTTTAACTTTAAGTAGAAATCAGTTCACTTTGGATCCTAAAACCTAGGAGTTATTGAAATGCGCCAATATTGTTGGGCGCTTAATGAAGGAAGTCAATTCACATTGGGTTGGCTGTTTAAAAGTTGAACCAGAAAGAATAGTCCGCATTAGCATCAGAATACATAAGCAATAATTTCAAAGAAATGGAAGGCTCACGTCACTTAATAGCAACAACCATATATAACATGACTAAATATCACCCCGCACTAAAAACTTGTTCAAGCAATGTAATTAGGCGTTAATTTAATGTCCACTTGTGTATGAAATTTAGTTGAACAATAGTAGTTTGGGACTCACATCCGAAACAAAGCGCTGGATTCCGATCTTGAAGAACCTTCACGGAGTGATAGACGCCAAGCCATGCACGTACACCGGCGTCTATGTAGACCTTAAAACATAAGTCACACATTGAAATGTTTCGGTGGTATAAAAAATGAATGTAGTAAACGCAGGAGCGGTAGGAGCCCTTCTTAGTTCATGAAACAAATTTGATCTATAAACACCTTTGGATCAGTGGAAACCCGAGGAATATAGTACAGAGAACCAGAGCACGATTTCCAACGATTTATGAACGTCCTAAAAGTAAATCATAAAACAAATAACATTATAAAAACTTTCTGGACATAGAGAAACACTATTTGCATGACAGATTTATTTCTCAAAACCGGATATTCCATCGCACCAAAACGCCTTATACAAAGGAAATGAAATAAAATTAACGTCAGTGTCAACATATGTCGCCATAAATAATTCTTGTGAGTAGTTCTTACAAACTATCCTTGTTGACACGTATATAATGCTGAGATATTTGCAAACTCCGGACCGCAGTTGTATGCGGTGTGGAACGAACACGAGCTATTGTCCTTACCGGGGAGTAGCGCACTTCACCACCACACCATCCGGGTCCTTCATTTTACCTGTCTCTCAGCTAGTTCTATCGATCTTTTGCCATCAGCAATCACCCGTCAACGGAATTGATCTGGGAAGCCCAAATCAGCATTGAACCCAGTTAAGCTGAGGCTTAACCAAGATTGTGATTATAACTAAGCCTCAGCTTAACTGGGTTCAATGCCGATTTGGGCTCCCTAGATCAATCCCGTTGACGGGTGATTGCTGATGGCAAAAGATCGATAGAACTAGCTGAGAGACAGGTAAAATGAAGGACCCGGATGGTGTGGTGGTGAAGTGCGCTACTCCCCGGTAAGGACAATAGCTCGTGTTCGTTCCACACCGCATACAACTGCGGTCC